CCAATCAGATCGCTCCGTTAGCCGGCGTGCTCAGGCCGTATGTGGCGAGCTGTATATATATGTAGTGTGCTCCAGCTCCTGCATAAACTCTTATGTATTTATAAATACAAGTGTCAGTGGTAAAATAAATATATATCATCACACTTAAGGAAGACAACATTCAGCTGCATTAAAAATAATGTAATTTTTTTTTTTTTTTTACCTGCTCTCCTCACATCTTCTCCTGCAGGAGGCCCTGTGCACATAACGCGGGAGGAGTGTCCTGGTAAATCTTCTGTTTTCATTTGTTATTTACAGCAGCAAAGCACTCCCCCCCCCTCCTTCCCTCTCTCTCTCTGCAAATAACTGCATGTTCATTATTATCACGCTACTTTTTGTAGTCCTAAAACATGTAATTTCCTAATTCACTTATTAAAAGGTTCTAGGTCCTCAAAAAACACAAAACCTATATAATAAAAACAATAAAATAAACAGCATTACATAACATACACTGGAAAATACACAGATACAGACAACTTGCTCAAGCTTTTCCCACCCACACCCCACAGCCCTCGGTTAGTTAGAAACAGTGAGCTGAGATTATTACGTACACAGACATTAAAGGCATAAATAAGTAGTTTTCACATGAGAAAATAAAGATGTCCTGAAGGAATGGAAAGAGTTATTCCAGTCAGATGGAGGTTTATACTGAAATTAATTGTTCTGGCCATTTTTTTCTGTTTTCATGAGTTATTTACAGCAGCAAAGCACTTCCCCTCTGCAAATAACTCCATGTTAATTATTATCATGCCAGTTTTTGGAGTCTTCAAAGTGGAATTTCTTTGAGGAAATCTACTCACACTATTTATAGTGTCTGAACTGGCAAAACCGAGTGTTTATGTAATCAGCAGCCAAAACATCCACAGTATTGATTTAATATGAATCAGATTAAAACAAGTGAATGTAAGCATTTACAAACAGGGACGGGCAAAGGTTTGGTGTTTTCATTAACAGTGTAACATAATAAAAATTTATAATAATAATATAATTGAACTTACAAACAGACCTTTTTCACAGCTGCCACTTTGACATGAAATAGTATGATAAACCAATGATATTGTTCCATTCAAGTTAAACAGAGTTGCTGCTGTTGTTCACTGGAAAAGCTTTGCTGCACTGAATGAAACAGATTAATTAGTATTACAGGTAACACCAGTACAAAATGGCCACTGTGAAAAAGGCCTGTTGTAATCCTTTGTTCAAGTTTTTTTTAAATTTGAAAGTTTCGGGCTCAATAAGTACAAAATAAAACAAGAAATACAGGCAACAGTTTCATTAATTGTACATGAAAAGGCACAGTGGGAGAAGAATAATGCTTTGCAATCACCATTTGTTCAAGAAGAAAATTGGCTTTTTAGCAATGTCTTTAATTGTGTTACCTCATCTCAGTAAATGGTGACACACAACAGACAACATGTAATCACTGACTGACCTACTGTACTATGATCACTGAAGACCAATTCCTTGAAAGTCAGGAGGTCTGACACATTAGTCACCAAATACTCATTTAGAGGAATCATTTCTTATCTGCATTCACCAGTATTTTCACTATAAACTGGCCAGAAATAATTTAAATGTTTCAAGTATTTGGTGTTATATTGTACACAAAGATCTGTCGCAGAATACACGAGTCACAGGAGGGGTGTGAGCTTTTAATGGCTGGTATTGCTGACATTGCTTTACAGTGATGGCACAATTGAATGGGATAATATTATACAGTAGAAATTTTAAAATGATGTCTAATTCAATGACAGGTAGATAGAGATTAAGTATTTCAAACATTTGATTGAATGACTTCAGTTTGACTATCAATTGAACATTTACACTTCTGTAAACTATACATATTTTCCAGCATTAAAAAAAACGATCTTTCATGTAACACATGAAGAAATTAGCTGCATGGACTCTTTGTTCAGACAATCATTAGCACTCATAAATAAGAGGATATTTCATCTTCAGTATACCCATGTGTTTAATTAGGGACAGCAGATACAGAATGCATCTCAAGAAAAATCTCATCACACAGCACAGTACGGAAATGTGTTTTGTCCCAAAATATACATGCAGATTTCAAGAAAATGTAACATCCTCTTTAGGAGTTCCCATAAAACAGCTATTGATAGTTCAGGTAAAAGTAGAATTACAATAAAAGCAATATATAATAAAATGGGAGGTTGTTAAATCTTATCGTAGCACAACAATTGTGGAAGTATTTGAAACATTTGCTCAGAATAAATTACTCCGTTGCTTAAAAAAATAATTAATCAGTGTGGGGGCATAGAAGCATTATAATAATTTGAGGTGATGCTGGGCTACATGCTGTTTAACCCAGACGTGGTTTTAATCTAAGGCAATCAATTTTTCTCCAAAGTTGAATCTAGTGTGTGTGTGTGTGTGTGTGCGGTGGCTAAAACAGGCAATGCAGCTGTCAGGATTATCACTCCATCAGTGTATCCTCAGGGACCCTGAGCAGGCAGAATATATTTATGACACAAATGTGAAGTAATAAAATATAAAATTAATTCAAAAGGAAAAGATATAACCATACATTGAAAATTGTTACGAACTGCTCTTCATGCCTTGTACTTCTCCTTCCCTGTTTCGCTAATGACGCAGATATGCTGAAACAGAAAAGGATCAATGAGTATTGCAGCATATTATTGATTTATGTATTTGTTTAAAGGGTCTTGACCTGGTCAGATGTGACATTAACACACACAAGTACAAACTCCAACAAGCTTAAAACACAAGCTACTTTACTTATTGTGTTTATTTATCTATCACAAATACTTACATTTAGATCTCTAAAGTACTCGTTGTAGTCTAGTGCGTATCCCACCACAAATTTGTCAGGAACCTCGAATCCTACAACTGAAAGAAACAGGTGAATAAATCAGTTACTTGTCTTTATTGTGGTAGACTAACAGTGAAATAAATGGGCATGCAAAGGCTCATTCACAAAGCACAAAGCTAAAGAATGTGACAAATATTTTAAATGGATCCAATGTCTTTGATCTTGGGCCTCCCAAGTGGGAATATAATTACTGCCGCTAGCAAAAAGTTATATAACATTCCTTCTTTTGCTGCTAGAAACAAATCTATGTTATTACAGTGGACGAGTGATAAGGGCCCTTCTGTTAAGGGTGGGTGTAAAGTTATATTCGAGCTGGTTCCTTCAAGTTAATTTACAAGTATTCTACTTAACAAAGCAGTTCTATAAAGTCTAACAGCTCTATTTGAATTAACCTGGACATGATTTTTCTTCCATTATTTCACAAACAATCGATTGAAACTGAACTCTTGTAACCTGTGATTTACCTGCAACATAGACTATGTCCTGTAACCTCCTGTATGTTTGTTGAACTGAGCTGTTTTTGTGTGTTTATGTTACTTATATGTTTGTTTTATTGTTATTGCGGGGAAAATAAGACAAACACACTTTTTTGGCAACTATACTTTGTAACATCTGGTACATTATAATAACGATAAATATTTGGATTAAATTATTTGTTGTATTGAACTCACAGTCCGGCCTGTAGCCAACACTTCTTGGTGTTCTCTTCACCAACAAACTGAGGACAGAAACCAAGTAAATCATCAGTCATGACACTTTATAGCTGCATGAAACACTGATAGGAAACACAAAAGTCTAAGGCATTTTTTGATTGAGAACAACTACAATCTGTTGTCATAAAACAATCAGAAACATGATTCCACTGGCCAGAATACTTTGTACTTGAAAAACAGTTTTTAAGGGATCAGATTACCTTGCTACTTTAACCATTTTGGGATTGTACTGTTTCAGGAGTTGCAATAATGTCTTCATTGTCTTCCCTGTGTCGATAATATCCTTGAAAACACAGCATGAAAGAAGCTCATATTAGTGGTCTTGGAATAGAAAGCAGTCGACTTTACTATAGTAAAAAATAAATCAGTACATACCTCCACAATCAAGACATTCTGTGTAAAAAGAAGAGAACAATTATTTTAGAACAATGGACTGATCACATTTCACCTTACTGACACTCAGCTATCTGTATCTCCATTACTGTGGTAACACAGTAATGGAGCTGTTCAGCGTCATTGTATATCAGTGAAAAGGTCTTAGTAAGAAATAAGGTACTCAAAAGAATCAATACTTTTTTGGTACCATGTGTTTAAAATGATATTAGTATACTGTCATTCTATCAAAAAACACAAAAACAGATCAGATTTTCTATTTCAACCCAACGTTGCACACATGAAGCAACAGAGAAGAAAACTGACTGAATTATTAATATTAATGTTGTATGTAAAGTACTTGCTTTTATTTCTGTGCCAGCAGCTTGTTAATATATAAAACAATCTTATTTTTACTTTTTGGTATCGAATATCGTTTTTTTAATACTAGTATTGCATCAGTTTAACATTCTCATATTGTGACAATCTTAGTAAAAAACTGTGGGAGCTATAATGAGAGTGGGAGAGAGAAGGAATTTCTACCAAAAAACCAATACAGAGTTATTGGCAGCTGACAGATAAACAGATTTGTTTTCTAGTCCTACAATCTGTCTGTCTGACAACAGAAAATGTGCCTAAATCAATATATGAAAGCACTGGGTTTGCTCAAAATATCTGTTCATGTTAAAAATAGTGGAAACACATATATTATTGTATATACAACAGATATTGTTATAGTCATAATCATTCAGCCCTGCGTACTTCTTACCTTGCCTGTCAATGTAGAGAGGTCATCTCCCCCAATTACTTTGATTTCACCTGTTGACTGGTCGTTCTGTGAGGACAAGAAGAAAGTGTTGCAGACTTCACATTATAAGTTGTATATGCACAAAATGTACAAACATGGAATTCAGTGTTTTCTCATCAAAACACATTTTAGTATCACATTAAAAAAAGCGCCAGCTGTGTAATATTTAGGTGGAGTGTTGGTAGAAATTGAATTATTAATATTATAGATGTTT